GGGGGGGGGGTGGTAGTGGTGCAATTTTCTCCGATCATCTGTTAGCCAATACCATGACAAGGTCGTCGGACTAAGAATATAAATTTGCTTATCAATCCATCCATTACCCACGTTATTTTGATTTGCCAGTTTCTAATATTGTAGTCTAAAAGCACTATTTTGGGCCATATTAAGCCATAAAAATTCTCCCCATAATACCTACCAGGGATTTTTATTCCAGGACCTTGACTAAGGCTCTAGTCGGCCCCTTGGTTTGAATCCTGTGCTTTAACATGTCAGACCCTGTCAGCAAATTTCTGGAACCACCGCTGACCTACATGGATAGATTACACTAATTATTTATGCAACATTCAAACTTTCAATCGACAATTATAATGCTATAAAATGATTAGAAATATAAGCACATAGTTTTTTTTTCCCATCATTATAAATTTATTAATAATAATGATAGTAAGGTAAAGGTAGTCCCTGCAGGGGAATGAGCTGTTAGCCCATCATACTAAGCCTTGATATTGTATGGTACTGTTGGGTGGCCAGTTCCTTTCCACGTCGCCTTTCTCCTCCCCAGTAGTGAACCTTCGGGTACCCATTTATACTCTTGGGAGGAGAGAGACAAACGTAGGTAAAGTGCCTTGTCCAAGAACACAAGCGAAATGCACAGCGAAGGTTCGAACCCACACCCTTGAGGTTGAGAGACCGAAACACAACCGCTGTGCCAACCTCTCCCAAATAAATGATAGCAATAATACTATACTTTCATATTGAGATGAGATGATTAATAAAATATTAATAGTGTAATTGACTGTATAAATAGTGGTTAATAATGGTTATAAATAATATTATTAATGATTATAATTCAGTCATGACATTCCCATTGGGCCACCAGTGCAAACTGTGCAGTAATCTTCTGCAGGCCATCTTAAAATATATATCATTAATCCTTCTTATGTATACAGAATATGACTATACTACTTGCTTAAATAAATATGAATAATTAAAATAATTACATATTTAAATGTTGCTCAATGTGCTAAAATTCTAAATTTTCTCCCTTTTTTAGGTTCTTGCCAAGTGTTTGAATATAGTATCTCAACAGAAAGAAGGAAACGATACCAGATATGGAGTAATACGTATGTAAATGGTGTATTGGATAAAAACATTCATGAAATCACAGTATAATTGTTGATTAAATTAACTATTCTCTCAAGTAATATTAAATGTGCTCATAGAAAACGGGTTACGGATGTTAAGAATGTAAATTATCTACACTGCCTGGTCGGTGTGCTAGTAGTTTTTTATTATTATATTCACTCTCTTTTCTGTAGAGGAGGCTGACATTTTAGAGGAACATTCATTCACTGTTTATGCCCTTCCATGACTAGTTAAAAGTTGAATGAATAAAGTTAAAAACAAAGTAAACAGATCATAGATGGATACTTGTCTATAGATACTGTATGCATGACATTTTGTATCAGATTAAATCTTGTATGTTAATGCAACTTAGGATGTTATGAAAAATTATTTGATATTAAAAGAAGTCATTAAGTTGATAGCGCATAAAATATGGTCTTTATGACACAATCACAGAAAATTTGGTGGATCCCGAAATTCGAAATAGAGAGCTGAGGGTAGGACTTTCACAGACAGGGTGTCGATACCACCTCAGCCCCACCATGGTAAGAAATGTTATGGCACCTAAATGGCACTCTCTCTTTTTTTCATTTCTAAAAAATACAGGAGGGGGGGGGGTGTGCTTGGACCAGCTGCCCCTTTGAATCACAGCAAGATGAAGAGCCTTGGATGTTTAATTTTAATAGGCATAGATGGATGTATGTAGCTCATAAAAGACTGACTTTGAAAGCAAATTATTAAGGAATGTTAAGTTATCAAGCAATGATCAATGCAAAAGTTTGTAAACTGTGTCAATATTAATAAATTCCACAAAATACTGCAGTTTGTGTGTGTTGGCTGTGTTCAGATATTCCCATCAGTAACCAGGGTAACATGTTAGTTGGTTTCCACAGAGAAATTAGGCCAATAAAGATGCATATTTGTTGAACTATTTGTTTCTATTCAGGCTCAAACGATCTCTACGAACCTAGTAAAGACACAATGAACTCTACAATATGACATCAATAATAACCAGACACTGTCCAATCTCAGGCGGTCATGCTTAGATACCCCACCTTGCATTGTTGATAAGTTTTGAAGTGGCTGAGGCTATGTTTCAGCCCTAGATGGAAGCATTTAATGGAATATAAATTTAGTAATTAAGTAACCACATACCTGTAAGTGGTTTTCAGGTGTCTGATGTGATTTGAACAAAAAAAAAAATCAAGACATAAAAAAAAAAGACTGTTCTTTCTTTTTTTTTATGTCTTGATTTTTTTGTAAACTATGTTTATGATGCTTAGAAAGTGGAGATGTTTTTGTAGTGGTAAAAGTCCATGACAGGCATCTTCACAACAAGCTATAATAACTTAACTCCATCCATACTTATATATGGCCTACTTCCATGGAATCAATTTTGAATACTATTCATGACAGGAAAAAATTCAACATCAAAACTCTAATCTTTTATTGCAACAGTAAATGTTACATCACATACTAAAAACTGTGTATTTTTCATTGCTACCTAATACAAAATATACTATAAAGAAAACGACGGAGCATTATGTGTCATTATTTAAAAACAAGCAAATAACTGAGTATTATAAAGCTATAATTTACGACTTACACCCTTTTCACATGCACAAATTGTTCTGGAATTACTAACAGGAAATATCATATAATAATACTGTAAATTTTTAATGTTTGTAGTGTCACTTTGTGTATAATCAAGGTCTTACAAACCACCGTCATTGAAACCAAATTTGTATAGAACAAATCTAGCCAATGGTGTATCTTGGAGTACTGGCATTGTGGGGAAGGCTAATTTGAAGGGGGAGGGGTGTGCTTATGATGATTAAGTGAGGGGAATTAGCTGGAAAAGTAAAGTGATATGAAGGGATTTCCAACTACTTGTGAATTTTTTTTATCAACCTTTCATTTTGGGGCACTTGAATCCATTTTTGTGGAGTACCTCAACCACCCCCTCCCCCCCATAGATATGTCACTGATACTAGTTCCCTGGGGGTATTCTGTAATAGTACAGGTAGTAATCTGTGCACTGACAGTTTAACCTACAGTACCAGGCAATCCTGGGTGGTTAATAGACTATTCCCATTATATTGCTGATGTACTGTACAAATATTTATTCATTTATTGAAGAAAGATTACAAGAAGTTTGGCCCAAAGTTTAATAACAATTAAAGAACTATTATTTTAAGGATTGGATGATTGAAGACCTGTATGTACAGTATTTCTTTTTCCTAACTTACATTATGTGAGAGTGAAATACTGTTCTAAACTCGCATCAAAATGGTATTACTATGTTATAATCAATACATTATTCTATCTATTAGTATATTAATACTTTCTCTATATACTAAAATTAATGTGATCTATTAGAAACAACCACAGTTAATATGAATAAAACCACAATAATTAATGTTAATGATAATCTGAATGAGATATTTCACCTAGATACACCGACAGTTACCAATTTTACCTCCAATTTGAACACCCCCTAGAAGATAATAGAATCACCCATCCCAAGGTATCTTTCTCATTCTGTATTCCTTTCCCCATTAGACAGGAACATGTATTATAGAATACAGTACTGCCAAAAATATATTGACCCAGTTGCAATGCAAGACCAACATTTACATAGCACGGAATTTATTGTTGGTTTATCTAGGTGAAGACTGGTGCAAAAAAAAAAAAAAGTGCCTTTCTTAAAAAATATATTTATATTCTTTCTTCTCAAAAATATATGCCATGTAATGGCCTTTCAATAAAATGTTTCTTTCTCATCATATAAATGAAAACTGAAAAGTGAATAAAATATAAAATATCAATACATGAAACTGTGATCTAGTCACCAGAAGACGCTATATTATGATATTTAAAATGTTTGTAGACCCCCATGTTTTTATAGAAGGGTTTAAAGCCTGCCCAGGCTATCAAATTTTAATTGGGAAAAAAAATATTTGCCTAAATATGGTCATGATGACATCAATCATGACCATATATGGGTATACAACAGATAATCTGGGCAGAACATAAGTAGACAGAATATTTCAGAATTTGGATTTAATTAATCAAGGCTGTAAAACATACTTAATAATAATTTTCCTTCACCTATGCATCATGATTGAGTGTCAATGCTATAAATAGCTTTGAAATAAGGAAAAAGTAAGGACACAACAGTTAATAGGAAATGTCATGAAGTCAAATGTCCAATCAATTAAACTTAACTACTAACATGCCTGAGGATGAGGGGGGATGGGGCAGAGGTGTTGGGCAATTGCTATAATGCTTCACCTCCAGGATACTATGTGCCCTGACCACCCACCTAACTATAGAACCCCACCCCACTACCCCGTCCACAATCAACCCCACCTCCCTTAAGCAACCCTGGTTTTGGATCTATACTAATATTATACTGCTAAACAATGATGTTCTATATTTACTAATATTTGGAATGGAAACATTAGCTGCATTACAATATGGAATATATTTGATCTACAACTGGAAGGAATTTATACATCTAATTTTATACACCTATTACTTTTAGTCTCAACAGTTTACATAGGGGTGCTATCATGCTTATATACCTGCCAGCTTTTACAAACACAAAGTGAATATGAAAAATAAAATCTAATAAACACCGACTTATACTTTTATTCTTGTAACTACTGAGTTGTTACTTCTGTTAAACATTCACTTACTTTAAAATTATATTTTAATTTATATGTAATTGTGGACGAACCTGGAGTGTTATTTTTCTTCATCATTTGCTGGCACCTACTATTATGAATTAGATGGAATTAAACAGAATAAAATAAACAAAATAAAAGTTGAAAGACTGCAAAATTTGGATCCTACTGTGTAATGGGGCTTACTGTTTTCTAAAGACCCCATCAGTTTTTAATTTGATTCTTATCATTTGGTTGTACACTCTTCTGAAAAGAGTAGGGGATTGTCTCCCGGTGTACTGCCAATGACCACCAGTAGAACCCCACTGGAAATAAGACTTATTCAGACTTTTGTGGGTTATCCTTGGTGTTTACACCAAATAAATCCATGTATCCTAAATAAATTGAGGCTTAGTGACACATTGGTTGCCCATTGTGGGTTTTCCAGTGGCCCAGCCAAAAATTTGGAATGACAAAATAACAAAATAAATAAACAAAATTTGGTAGTGTTGTGAGTACCTAATATCAATCAATCCTCTATTTGTATTATTATATTGTACTGGCTTAAGAAACTTCAATGCTTTACATGTTTATTTCAGGTAAAAACCGCTAGTATTACAAGAGATTGAGTGACTAAATTTACAGTTCCCCAATATTTATAATCTGTAACTCTCACCAAAGCAAATCAAAACATGTTGGCCTATTTTGTTGTAATCTTTTCTTTCACCTCTTGGCAACCTTTTCCCCTATGTTTGAAAATGTCCTAAATTATAATACTATATATTTTATTACACCCACTGATATATTTGGATCACATCTGTATATATTTTGTATAGTATAGTGTAACAATTCTGGATTCTGGACCCCATTGGAAATACTTTGGTGTTTTATAACACTACGTTGAACAAGTCATCTAGTAGGCATTCAAACAATGTCTCCTACCTATAATTTTAATGTATTTTTTATTTATGCTGAAGCCTAAATATGAAGAATTTAGGAGTGTTTCCCCAAATTTATATATATATATATATAAAAAAAACATAATTTGTTTAAAATTTATTAAGATTATAAAATTTTCACTAAAAAGGTTTGCATATTTTAAGTATTAAGCACACATTTCCTAGATATATTTACCAATAAAATTGTTCAACCTCCATAAAATTATCTTTAATCTCTAAACTAAATATAATGTGCACAAACTAGTATGTAATTGCACTGTCTAAGGCATAAACCTGCACAGGTTTCAAATGATAAACAAAAATAAACAAAGCCAAGCCTAACACTGTCATATCAAAATTTACAAAGCCATGTCTTAAGACACACTGCATTCTATATTGTTTGAAAAATCTCACAAAAGATACCCTGTTGCTCCACTTCTCATTCTTACCATATCAAAAACATAAAAAATGAAAGATTTTCTATAAAAAGGTCTCAATCTCAAAAATTACTCATGTATACTCTTCCCTCCACAATTTAGAAAGAAGACTTTGTCATTCCCTGAAGTATTTGAGCCTCTCACACGATCGTTGTACTATTTATTCCAGGCTGTGTATACTAACACTGAGATGAGTTACTGGATGCATTGGCAACATGGAACATTGGGTTACTGAAGCCATGCTGGTTACGAGGTGCCTCAGCAGTTGTTGCTGCTTCAGGTACAGCACGGCTGTATATGGGGTTGGAATATCCACCGTAATTCTCCTCCACAGATACCTGTCTATTATGGAATCGTACACCACCTGAATGAAAAAAATTAAACCAATACAATGCTTGTTATTTCCAAAAACAGCGTACAATCGCTAACTGTTAAACTGAGCAAATTAACATAAGAATGTACTAGTATTGTAAACTTTCCTACAGAGAAGTCGTAACACTTTTACACATAACTTCATAGAACCACACCTAAAAATTATTGATGAAAAGCCTGAGACATGACTGGCTAGCATAGCATTACACAAAAAGTGAATCCAGAGCCAAACGTAAGTTTATCAGTTAGTATACAGCACTCTAACTGTCTTCAGGGGAAGAATGAGGATGGCCTTACCTGAGGTAAGCTGAATTTGATTAGAAACAGGATCGTCTGCTGTATCATCTTCATTAAATGCTAATTCATCTCCTGTCTTCTGTTGCTTAGCAAATGATATGAACACCTTGGTGAAGAGAAATTGTGAAAATGATAAAACAATTATTATCACAATGTAATATATCAGAATAAAATTAATACAATATTATTCTATTTTTTTTTTAAATGGTTTAAAAATAATTTTTAAAAAATTAAGGGAAACACTATTACAAATTAATAATAAAGTAAAATCCTATTAACATTTTTGACAAGAATGTTGGCAGCCCAGAGTGTCAATCTTAGTCATGGTGCCCTGGATTGGTCTATTCTATTTTATTAGAAGGGGTGTTCTATTTTGTTTATCCAGGTCATTATTCACAAATAAACAATCTTAGCCAATGACAATTGCAATAGGGTTAGGAATACACATTTTTCCCACAAATGCACATTTGTTTTTATTTCAACAACCGTTATTGAGGGTGACCGTTCCAGCTAGGCTGATATTCAGGGGCCCTCTACATGATGAAACCAGGAAATATACATAATAGAATGAACTGCACATGTGTAAGTACGGTTACACTGTTTAGTAGGACCCTAGCAACAATACCAAGTGGGTTAAGCTTGGCGGAAGGGGCAATTCCTCATTACCTGGTCCAGAGTTGTTTGACTAACAGAGTAATCTTCTATGTTCAGTCGTTGCTTGTACGCTTCGAGTTGGCCAAAGAGTTTTGAGAGGAACGTCTTTGGTGAGGGGATCTGGAACTCCATCATGTTGTGATGGTATTCCTTGAGGTTGGCATGTGGAAATGTATGACTCATGAAGTCAATCACTGGCCTTAGTTGAGGCTGGTGTCCACCTACTCGTATGGTAATTGTGTAACCATCTCCAAATCTGAGAAGAAATCATATTTGTATTTTATAATTTACTATTAAATTCATTCTTTATAAAGTTCAAATTTCTGTAATGTATTTAATACTTTTTGTCCTTGTACCTTTTGTTGTTGTTCCCTTTGTGTTTGTTCCATTTTGTTTTGTCTTGTCTACGATCCTGGAACTAATTACTTTTCATTTTTTTTTGTCTGGTGGAGTCAGGCTTAAAGCCCTTTGAGCTTATTTGGCTACTCCAGACACAATTGCATTATGTCTAAATATCATTTGTTGGTCTTGTTTGCATGTGTGTGCACTGTGTAAATAAATGTAGATTTTTTAAAAAATGGTCTGGTTTTTTTTCAACAAAACATGATAAGATTATAAATAATTGGGTTCTGGCCAATTGCCACCAAGAGTGCCATTGTTACATGGTTTGAATGGCAACGTGTCAATGGCAGCTGTTGTTTAAATGAACCCAAAATAATCTGGAAACGATTCTTACTTGTTCTTGAGATGTTGTATGTTTCCCAAGCATTTAAATCTACCATTGACCATGATAGCTATACGGGTACACAATGCCTCGCACTCCTCCATACTATGAGATGTCAGGATAACAGAACGCCCTTCCTTTACCATGCTTGTGATGCAGTTCCATAGAAAACGGCGTGCTTTTGGGTCCATGCCAGTCGTCGGCTCATCCAAGAACACAATGGCAGGGTTGCCTATCAGGGCAATTGCTGTGGAGAGCTTGCGTTTGTTGCCACCGCTGTAGCTTCCAGCTGATCTGTCTGCATACTGTACAAGACCCAGTCTCTTGATTCCATTCTCTGCCTCCTGAAAATAAAGTGATCAATTTGTTAGCATTTATTTAAAAAAACTGAATTCCAATTCTCTATTTACACATTTAATGAAAAAAACAACCCATGATAATATATATTAAATAATAATAAAATCTTATGACACTTAATCTTTCCACTACTGCTATATTTTGCACACTCTGTGATCCATCTGCTCTTATTTTAAACACAATCAATTCTGAACTGGTCAATATATCAGTATGGATCAATGCCAATCTTAAGATACTTAATCTTACAAAAAAAAATAAGCATTTTAGCAAGTCTTTACAAGTACCGTGATCAATCACCTTCCTGAGTTCTGTTCAAAGCTGTGTTGCCACGAACAAATTCTTGATAATAAAATTAGATGAAAAACTTAATTGGGGCGAGGGGGAACACTCTTGCACACCTATCATTAATGTTTTAATTCATAATGGCATATAAATTTGAGATGCTATAATTATTTCTCCATTCTATATTAGACATTTTACTTGACTGTTTAGTGACAGAGGTAGAAAGAAATCACTATTTACCTTCTTAATATCTTCTTCAGGAACACCACGTAACCTTGCATAGAATTCCAAATGCTCCCTGCCAGTGAGCAATGAGTCCAGTGCATCAAACTGGGGGCAGTATCCCATATTTTGATTTACTTTGACCATATCAGTTAGTATGCTATAGGAATTGACATATGCAGTACCACATGTTACGTTGGTGTCCCCTGTTAGCATTTTGAAGGTTGTAGTCTTTCCTGCTCCATTCACACCCAGCAAACCAAAACACTAGATATGAAATATAAATAGTAAATGTTTTTATTAATTTATTTAAATCTTTCTTTTGCAATGATAATGAAAATGGTGAGTGAAGGTGACACCAGTGCTAGATAAGATGGCTGATAATGGTTAGTTTGTAAAAAGCTAACAACTTTTGATTCCCAATGGCATCAATACCTTCCTTTCAAAAATGTATTTAATTTCAACATATTAAAATAATTTACCTCTCCTTTTGGAATTCCGAAGGTTATACCATCAACAGCAAGGTTCAGACCTCTTGATGTACGATACACCTTGTAAGTAGAAACAAAACATAAAAATCCATTAACACCTATTGTCTTTTTTCAAATATCATTACAAAATTATTACAAAAACAAAAACAACATAATATATATTGAAATATAGAATAATGATATGACAATAGAATAATGTTGGAAAATGACTTGACGGAACCATTATTCACTAAAAAGAAACCTGCCCGAGGGACCACAGGCCTTGAAGCCAATTTCTAAAAGCAAAAATGGCTTCAATTATTAATTTAAAACATATGGATGAATAAACAGCTTCTGTTTCTTTACACCTAATACTTATGGTGGTAATACCAGGTTATACATTCTTTCAAATACAAACCATGGGTGAACCCACTCCTAAGCACAGGGCCTGCTGAAGTGGCTAGTTATATTATAATACACTAATAATCAAAATATAATATAATGCAATAAATATATAGTGGATATTTATATACACATTATGTTGCATTCTGAAATTTGTCAATACCTTAGTGAGGTTCTCCAGCCTCATGAGATCAGTAGAAGCTCTACCAGAGAGGACCCTCTGCCTTTCTCTTGCAACATCCTCATCCTCTGGTTCCTCTCTTATATTCTTTGGAGGCTCAATGTGTCTGAAAGATTCACGTAATAATATAATAATAATTTTCACATTATCAACCATATTTATAGGAGGTAACCCTTTTTGCACTACAATGGAATTAAATTTGCCAGTTTGGTACTTTATTGTTTTTATCTTTAAATATTATACCGAGGGCCTTCTTAAATAAATTGAATAATGTGAAGTTTCCACATTACGAGGATCAGGCTCAAAATTTGAGCCCAGGACCCTGTATTTGGAAACATCCTAACATGTTCGCTGCCAGCGATGAGTATACATCGTCCCACAGTGTTGCTGAGGGCGTTAGGAATTATACTCGTCAAAACCGAGGTAACATTCTAGTGTTTATAACTTCAGTATTATTTATTGCAAAGAATGTCAGTAAGTACTAATGAACTAATTTCATGAGTTGTAGTGTCTGCTTTATGGTCATCAAGACTCCATCATAGAATGATGGAGATCCTGCGATGCTGCGATGACTTACCTTTCTCTTTTTATCTGTACTGTGGATTCCTTTGTTAAATGACCTTGTAAGGTCGGGGTTGATCTTTCTGTTGTATGGACTAGTGTTTCCGAAATAAAAGCTTGATTGATTGATTGATTATACACTGTAGAACCACAGACTTAACGGCTGATAGTTCGGGGAAAATACAGCTAGACGAGAACGTACAAATAAAATATGTATGTTTGTTGTGTTATGTTGCCGGGAGTACAAAAGATTGCACTAGTGGTAGCGCCTCTGAACATTATACCAACCCATGCAAAAAGTGGATAAGAAAACTTGCACTTGACAGAGTAAATATAAAGTACTGATCCATTGCCAATTGCCCACTCTAATATTTTCCCACAAATTAATTAGGCACACTGTTTTGATGATATGTGACTTGATAAGATTTCAAGAAAGTATGTTGGTAAATACATACTTGTTTTGGCACATGGGACAAAACCTAAAAAAAAAGGTCTGGCAGTCAATGTGCTTATAACCAAGCTACACATTCAATGCAATCATATTTCTGTATCTACACTGCAACTTTTACATTGAAATACATTTTCTTCTTTAAATTTATCTTACCTTGGTCTGACAAAAAACTTGTATTGTATGAGTAGGGTGAGTGCAAAGAAGATGAAACCTTCAAGTAACAATGCAAATAGATTGCGACCAACTTTCTCCCAGTTAAGTGGGCTGCTAAACTCATAAAAACCAGCTACAATAAAGAAAAATGAAAAATATTTAATGGCTGATGGACTAGTGTGGTAGCCATTGCACACTGTGGAGGTGCTCTACATTGTGGTGGCATTATGCACTGTGGTGGTGCCCTGAGCACTCCAATCTTATTTTTTGTTTTAACCATATTTATAGAGGGTGACCTTCCAGCATATCCTAGGTCACCCTCTTAAATAAATATAATAATGTGATGCTTTTATCAGTGAAGTCATAATTGAGTCTTAGGGAAAATAATGTAAAAATTACACAATTTTACTGTACAATTAAAAAACTATATCTACTATGTCAGCACTTACTATATTTTGAGAATGTATCTGCATAGAGTTGGTTTGTTGCCATGTCGATTAACCCTCTTCCAAGACAATATTGTGGAAACACTAGGAACAATATCTTGAGCATGTTGTTTACATTTGTTAGGTGCTATACAAAAAACAAAAACAAAAACAAATCAATGACAGTTAAAAAACCCAAGAATTGCGCATAACTGCTTCCATGTGTCATGTGAGAAAACACTTAGTTTTGGGTGTGATAAATCAATGTGGATAAATGAGACATGCTGTGACAATAATTTAAATTCAAGTTTTTGGTATTTTCAGATACATTTTCAGAGATACTTGAGTAGGTAATCTTTAAAATGAGGGGTCATTAATTGAAATTGGACATTTCAAGCCTTAGTTATTGGGAAGTGAAAGTACAATATAAATGATTTTGAGTGATTGTCTTCCAATGTTATTTGCGCATACATTGTTAGTAGCAACTACCAAAATAATGTTAAATAAATGCTTTGTTGACCAACTCCAGAACTAAGATTTTGGGACATCATTAATTGGATATAAAAACTGTTGATTTATAGTGATTTAAAAAAATTAATTTTAGGCCATTTTTTGATCTCTCATATTTGATAGCTCATTTACTCAATACTGGCTTGTGCGACAACTTAGCCATTTTGCCCTGGCATGCCTCATACGCAATCTTATAGCTGATCTAAGATGATTGTAAAGCTTACACAAAATCATTACTTGAAAAAATCTAATTGGCACTTTAGAATAAAGGAATATTAAGCCTTTCCAGAGTGTCAATCAAACTTAACAACTGACTAATCAGAACAGGGCCAGGAATATGTGCGTGTGCAACAAACACACCTGTTGTCCAACACATGCATGTGTGTGCATGCTTTTACACAGCTGTTTCTTTGGACCTTAGCAATAATATTCAAGGGGTGGGGCTTAGTGGAAAGGTCTATTCCTATCGTGATCTCACCTCATCCTCCGATAAAAATTCTAGGATGAATGTGGCGGACATCGTGACGATACCGATGACAATATTAGCAGAAGCCAGAGCAACGTAAGCAGTACTTGGAACACTGAAGACGAAGGTGGCAGGGTACATGAGTGGAGTGATAGCCCAACTAGAAAAGAAAAAAAGACAGAAAAATACTAAATAATAACTGGTATATCTTTCTTTCCAATCAAGAGACAAGTAGGCTAAACAATTTAAGAATATTATTTCATAATGCTGTAGAAAGTAAAATTGATAATTTTAATTATTTCTCTTCATCCATCACACTACAATTTTCTTTTATGTCAAAAAAGAGTCAAACACTCTCAGGTTATATGTCCCTAGAATACTGCAGGTTCATAGTGGTAAACGTCTTTCTTCTCTTGCTGCAGCAAAACTATAATTCCCTTGCACCAAAGCCTATAATTGTTGATATGAGTATAATTCAAGATTCTCCTAAATAATAAATCTTTAAATAAATAATCTGTATACTATCTTACCTAAGGGAATGAGGATATTTTTTTAGTGATATTCCTAAGGAACAATGGTCTGTGTTTTTGGCTAAGTAGTCATGAACTAGACTATCTACTTACCCATATAATATTAGAAGCAAAATAAGGCATGGTAGATTATGGGGTCCAACATATGAGTCTTGTTGAAAGATGAGGAATACACAGATCACAAGACAAGCTGGTATAATATAGTTCACCTATAAGACACAGTTAATGACATGATTTAATATTAACATTCATGTTATTAAACTCCATGAACTAATGTTTGTTGAGATGGACATGAAAATTTGTTAGTGTATGCTGAAAGATGTTACTGCCTTTGTTGAGCTAATTTAAATATTTGAGTTGTTTACTTTATAGTATAATATTTAAAGAAAGTTATTTTTGGGTTAGACAATTCCATTATTTTTCACGGGTAAGTTCCATTAGGAATCTGGCTTATATCGGTCATTCACTTAAGCATATAAACATATTGCATATAACACTTATAAATTCACTAGTGATGAATTTCAGGATGTCTGTAGTCAGTAAATCAGCAACTACTGTAACTCATTTGTTTCTTATGTGTATCATTGGAAGTTGATACCTTAAGCCGCAATCGCACTAGACATTTTTAGGTGAAACTAACCGATACGCTGGTTAGTCCAATGCGAACATGCATATTGGTTAAACTTTGAGCACTACTCAATGGACGATACGACAGATTAGTGCCCTCAATAGTAGTTGAGTTTCAGAGCTCAGTTTCTTGCAATAAAACTAACCGACTCAAAAAATCCTAGTGCGGACAGCGTAATATTGACCCATTGGAATTTTACCTACGGTCAAGGTAAAGGTCCAGTATGATTGCGGCTTTATAAATGAGCACTTTAGTATTTAAATTTGATTGACTTTTTACATTTTTCAAGATCTTTTGACAGACAGAATATTTTAAAGAAGGATAAGATAATATGGACTCACCAGATCCCAACAGAAGTTGGCTACCCAGTAGATGGTGGGATTGATCCCGCTGACCATCTGAAGGTGCTTGGCTTTACTTGTCCTCTCACCAATCAAGAACACAATGAAACTGGATGGAATAAACGCCATTGCAAACACAACAAATGTTGCTACTGCAACTTCAATCGAGCTACGAAGCCTTTAAGAGAAAACAAAAAAAAATCACAAATTGAAGCTCTGGGCTCACAGGTGAAAGTTCCTCTTTTTCCTACTTATGGCCAAACTGTACAAAGCTATGGGGGGGGGGGGCTGACATGTCCACCAGAGAGGTCCAAACCAAGAAGCTAACTAACCCTTAATCAGGGATAAAAATCTCTGGTAAGGTTCATGGGGAGAGTTTTTATGGCTTAGTGTATGACCAAATTGTGTTTTAGACCATAATATTAGGGATTGACTATCAAAATAATGTCATTTTGATTGCCAAATTATTTTTTTCCGGCGATCTTGCCGTGGCATCAGACGACAGGGGTGCCCAGGCCTGTCTGATGGGGGAAAATGCCCGCCTTAATCTTAAACTGGAGCCTCCACTGCTTCCCAGTGTATGCCGGTAGCCATTTATAAAGTTGGGTTGAGAGACAAAGACAAAGGTACAGAGACAAACAGACAAGAGACTTACAAAGCTTTTTCATTCAGCTGTACTTGTGTATAGTTGAGTGGGTGGTTGTAAGCAGTGATTCCATATGAACTAAGCTGAGATGAATTCACATTGGCTCGGTACAACATGTTATTCATCACACTTATGTACGTAGGTAAAGCATGCCAGCCGTTGTTATTCCACCAAACCTAGAAAAGATAGGATTGAAGCATATTAGTTATAAAATACAATTTTAAATTTTATTCATTATTACTAGGTAATAAATTTTGATATAAGAAAATGATATAAATCAAATAGCTTGACCATTATAATGCTGAATGAATTTGAAAATAAAATAGTTATAAAAATAAAAACTTTAAAGGGTGCGGTGGAAAAAACATAGCATCCTGTAACCTCTAATCTGATTGGATATTTAGAAGGAAGTTAGATTATATAAGAAATATCATTCAATAACTGAGTTTTTAATTCCAACTGTCAGTTGAACTTGCCTTTGAATTGTATCGTTCTGTTAGGTCTTGCAACACTTCGTAGATTTCTTTTATTGTATCAACAGAAGGTATGAGATCAGGATCCTGTAAAGATGGTGATAAAAATTTAAAGCACAAACAAAAAAACAATATATGCATTTAGATAATGTTCTTTGAACACTTGTTTGTTGTTATGCTATGGCTGTATATTCAAAAAGAAAAGATAATTGAATGAATGACTGACTTATTAGAATGCTTCCAATGAATAAATAAACAATTAAAAGTAATTAATTGAATGTAAATTATATTAAAAACTTACAGCTTCTGGGAATTGCTCCTCCAAATTTGTCCCAGATAAGTTTGCAATAATTTCATTGCTAATATTCCTGGTCAAATTTGAAAAATCGGCAACTTCTAAGAAACTAAAGCCACCAAACCTAAATGAAAAATCAAAGTACAAAAATGAAATTAGTAAAGTAATAGTTAACAGTCGCAGGGTGTTCATAAAATGGATTGATGGTTGTCAAACCTTCAACGTGTGCTTCCTCAAGGAAGAAATAGTAAACAACATAGGCAACATACATTTTCCAGGTAAAAATTCTAAAAAAAACTTGTACTCACCTCTGTAATATAAAGTCTTCCATTGTCTTTACAAGATAGTCACTGATGTTCCTCCCAGTAAGGTTATAAAGAGTGTCAGTGGATTCAGTGACGCGGTGTGGAGGCTCTGGGCCTTCAGCACCAGAGGGGCACACCTGATAACCGGTTTCACAACTACAGGACTGAGAGGTGTCCACTGATTGGCCAAGTCTTGTCCACATGGTGGCATTTTCAGGGTCACATGGTTTATCTCTGTTAATGACCAACAATCATTTTGGAACGATAACAGTAAAATATTTAATTTTCTTACTAATTTTCCTTGAATGTCAAACAAACATGTTAGGAATATATTTGTAATTGGGTCACAGGAGTAATTTGGTGTATTATTGTTGATTTTATAATCCTATTTTATTTATAAACTATTTATACACTTAGATAAAATAATTTTATCAAAGTATAAAAGTATTTATCAATATGTTTTGAATAATTCTAGTATCAGAGAACCACACTGGATAGATTTCAGCAGTTTTGGAAATCCTCTGGGAGGTATTTTAGGTGGGCTTCATTTTTGTTGTTTTGTTAAATTAATGTTTTACTGGTTTTTTTTTTTGATTTTTTTTAAATATGTATTTTATATAGTGCCTTTCACAATTCGAAGAATATACAAGGTGCTGGAATCATTACTTCCTTGGTCACACTGGATACTGAGTTGGCAGACTAGCACATTTTATGCAAATTTTCTGCTCATTGAGGAGTATCCCTAGTCATACTTATTTACGCGCGCAACCAAAATGTTCTATGTTATCCTACCAGGTACACATTTCTCCTGGGTGGGGAGAAGGAAACGTTTAGTAAAGTGCCTTGCCCAAGGACACAAGCCAATCTCATGATTGGAAGTCCAACACCTTACCCACTGCACCACATGTTCCTACAGAATTGATTGTTACGTTCTCCTGGAAAATAAAATAAACAAAAACTTACGGTACAGGGTTACCATCCATACACCTGGTTCCAATGCCAGGATAGTTGACAAGGTTATCTTCCATTTCAGCGGCAAACAAGTTTGATGGTGCATCGTTACTGTAGAAAACATTATTGGGGTCGTAGTTCCATGGAACCAGGGCTAGTGACCTTGGTTGTGACAGTGGCGGGATGATGATGGCAAACAGCATCGATATACAAACAAAAGCCACCGGAAGGATCACCTGGTGAATATACAGAACAGCGTTTCGATATTCAACAATTTTTTCCATTAATCATCCTGACTGGACACAATTCATTGTTGGATAACCTTGTCAAAAGATGAGGGTTTTCAACCAAGGAAAGTTGGTCTATATGCAAATACAGGGCATCCTCCAATTTCAAGACCCCTCTAATTCAAGACCACTTTTTAAAAGAACAATCTTCAATTTATTAACACTATGCTAACCTTCTATTTGGAGGCCGAACCCTCGAAAATTGGGACCTGAAAATTTGGGGTGGTCTGGAATTGGAGGGCAAAACTGTACTTAATCACAATGAATGAGGTATACAAAAAATTAAGTTATGCATGTTCTTAATATTATACACAGAATAGTCAATCACTCTTGCATCCTGTATTTGTGAAATTACAAATTACTTACAGATTGAAAGTGTATACTTACCTGCGCAAACACGCCTTTCTTACTCCTCCTGGCGTGATGGAAACGTTTGATGAAAAGTGCCCAGAACTGTCGACGAATAAGGTTGATTCCCTTGACCCTACGTTCCTCCCCCAAAATATTTTCCTGAGTTGACAACGACATATAATCTACGAAAAAATTCAATTAACAATCATGTTTAATAAAAATCATTACTGTATTACACAAGTTAATGAAATTAAATAATTACTAGTAATAATTCAGTTAAATATTAATATAAATAGTTAGATAGTTAAATAGTTAAATATTAGATAACACTAATAGTATTATAATAATATAAGGTAAAAATAGTATAAGTTATTAATAAATAATAATTAGTAGATAGGCCTAATTTTATATTATCACTATTATATTAATTACACACTTTACTATGCATAGAGTGTGGTAACTGAAGCAGATGATCAATGGAAGATGATAGACAAGAGAAGACATGAATAAATAAGCCCTTGCTAGGAGTTTATTTTTCATTGTATATGTGAGTAACTTTTGCATCTCCTGTATTTTTTAACCAAGGTTTACATGTTTACTACTACAAACACAATACTACAACCCCTCTATAACATACATAATTTAATGCCAAAATTATATGACTGAAGCTGAAAAAAATATAAACAAATTAAACATAAAGAAAAGAAACATATAATAATTTTTATGGTGTTTCACCAGTTATAATATAGTCGATAAAAAGGAGTTAAATAGGATAAACTCCCTAACTATAAAACTAACACAGAAATATAAGCATCCATGAATTAAAATCTTAAAATAAATTGAGCTACTGTAGATTAAGCCTGAAAGCAAGTGCACATCTCAAAATCCTGAAAGCAAATCTAAAGCGAAGAGAGCATGAAAATAATCTTAAGAACACAAGGATTAGCAGAGGGAAAAAAGCACACATTTAATAGAGAGCTAAAGCAATCTAAATGTTAGTCATGTTAAAAACAGCAAACATAAATACTTAGTATATCAATAATTAGTTAACAACAAAATTGTTAGCATAACAAACAGAAAAGTTAAATAACATGTAAGAAATTTAAAGTGTTAAACAGCAACCACAAGAAGTGCGCATTCAATACATAAACAAAAAGAGAAAGATGCTAGTAAATTAAAACACCTAAACCCCGATTCACATAAGAAAAACTTTAGCATGTGTCTCCTGCTACATTGCATCAATGTGAACAGAATCCATTTAAAATTAAAACATATCCAATGTAATATTTATGTATGGAAAACAGACATCCAGGTCTGCAAAACTCTGTTTCCATAGAAACGCTCACCCTATCGGCGACCGTCACCGACAGTTGTCAGGAAGGTTGAACCTAGTTCAACTTCGCCGAAGGAGTTGCAGATGAATCAGGTGCATTGCCAGCTGCCTTGACACAATCGGGAAGGCACCCTGATTCATCTATTGGCAAAGTTGAATCAAGTTCAACCTTCCCGACAACTGTTGGCGACTGTAGCCGATAGGCTGAGCGATTCTATGGAAACCAAGCTTAACACTACTAAGGCTCTGTCTACACTATTCAATTTTCTTTGACAAAGAACTGTTGTATGCCCATATATAGTCATGTG